TAATCCACCGGCTGGGCCCTTCAAGGCATGCGGCTGGCGAGAGGTGGGACATCAACATTGCCAGTGCCGGCCAGGGAAAGCCCAAGGAGGCTGGCGGCAAACGCACGTGCGGCTGTGATGGACAAGATGGCCGACCAACGAAGTGCGAGGGCGGAGGTGCACGCTGCGCGAGAAGGGGCCGGCACCGCCCGAGCGCTGCAGCGTGCGAGGAGGCGGACGAGAGGAATGTCCTTGAACGACCATGGGTCATGGTCAGAATTGTGAAACATGCACACCAATGTATGTACAAGCCCTATTCCAGCACTCAGGAAAAAAATCTCATCACATTTCACACGCATCAGCTGCTTGACAAATTGCGCCCACAAAGCGAATGTTCTGAACAATTTGAGGGGCTGTGTTCATGCCAGGGTTGGTGCAGAACAGAACGTGCAGGTCCAATGATTGATGTGCTGTGCGGGCTTGCCACCTTTCACGCAAAATGCGATGGGCATTACATTCAAGTAGTGCATGATGCAAAGAATCACGTTCATGTGCACAAAATCGACATGGACGGGGGGCATCCCCTCGATGACGGGCCGACTGCCCATCACCAAAACAGTGATGGCCGCATCTCGCCAGCCCCCAATACCGGGCAAGCACAGGGAGCACATAGACGATTGTATGGAGGTTGGGCACCGGTTGCCAGTGAGCAAAAGAACTGAGCGACTCAGTTGCGAGCAGGGCTGCATGATAGGTGGCGTCTGAGTAACGACACACCACCACCTTTACATGCCGGAGCCAACGGTGCACAACTGATACGGGCGTGCCCGGTCCTATGCCCCAAGATGACGGTGGAGCAACACCAATGTTTACCAAGGTGGCTCCCACACAGCTGATGAAGGAGTGCGGGTTTGTGCTAGCGATGTGCGCAATGCGTGCTGCAACCGACGTTTGGGGTGAACACAGCAAGCGTGCCCACAAGCCTGCAACACGCAATAAACGCGAACACTGGATGTTCAACCAACCTAGCTGACCTTGCACAGCGGCCGTAGGTGCTCCTCGGGGCCACATGAGCAGGCGTCGTCCCCATTGACCAAACCTGGCGTTCAAACGCTGAAGCTCAGGCTCATCCATCACAAATTCCAAGCCAAAGGATGCTGATGGGCGAACGTAAGTTTGGAAAATGCGCTCACTGAGACATACAGGGAGATCTTCGGAGGCGGTCCATGTTAGGCAAGCTGCAACACGGGCTTCGCCGCGAGCTAGCAGGTGATTGACATGATGTTTCCAACGCAAGTTCTCATGAAAAACAATCCCCAAGTACGTATATGTTTGCACATAAGGGAGTTGTTGGCTGCCCAAATGAAATTGTGGGCGGATGCTTCTCATGCGAATAGGCGCAAAACACATCACGGCAGTTTTTTGGGGGCCAACCGCAAAATTCAAACGCCATGACCTTGCCCAAACAGCTGCTACATCCAGGGCACGCTGCAAAGCTGTTGGGTCATCACTCACAATCACGACGTCATCTGCGTACATCAAAAGCTGGACTTGCATGGAACCTGCACGGCCTGCACACGTAACGCCATTGCAGACACGCCTAA